CGCCCCACTCTGCCTCTCCCCCCCTCCTAGCCCTAAACTCTTGGCATCGCGTGGGCTGCCGCCTTTCCAAAGCCACATTCAGCCGCGCACCTCAGCATTTCTCTGTGCTCTTGTCAGGTACAAAGGTACCTCAGTCCCCCTCCGGGGAGGAAAATTTTCCTAGAGTATGAAAATGCTCTGTCTGTTCCCCTCTTCCCAAATTATCACAGCAGTAGCAGCATCGTCAGACTGGCTCTTCCAGCGTGGTATGTGTTTCTGTCTGGGTTTTGATGGTTTGGGTTATGGCTTCTTGCCCTGAAAATAAGTGGGAACTGGCCGTTTGGCGGTAGGAACCAAATTCCCTAACCTAAAGATTTTGGGGGTGGGCGGGGGGGTGGGGGGCTTGGAGGGATTCCATTCACTCCGTCTGGGAGATATTTATTTGTTTAAGGTCAACCAAGAGCCTGGCGACATCTTAAAGACCAATGTGTTTGTTACAGTCTCCTGCTGTAGGAAAGGTGTTGGTTTTTAAGGTGCCCCAAGACTCTGCTGTCTTTCGTGCAACAGACTAACTCAGCTAACCCTCTCAGAAATGTTGACTGAAGCAAAAGACAATGTTTTTGCTAACATGTTTGCCTGTGACGCTCATTTCCTCTGGTGACTAGGCACTGGCAGGCAAAATTCTGTAGAGGAATTTCTATTTCTATTTTTTAAATCCCTAGATGACCTTTTAAAAAAGTGATCTGACACTCTTCTAGCCTTGTAGGGCTGGCTGTTTCTCAACCAGCCGTCTCCAAACTATTGCGTTCTAACTGGCCCATTGTTGATGTGGATGATGGGAGTTGCACTCCTACACATCAAGGGGACAGTGGGAGAAAGCTGCCACCAAACTATGGCTTAACAGAAAGCAGATGTAAAAATGTGGGTTACCTTACTATCTTTTTCACACAGCCACTTTCTCCTTTCCTTTTCAAATGAGAATAGAGCATAAAGGTTTGTATACAGCCCTTGTCTTTCAGTGCTTTGTTCTTTCTGTACCTCAAAATACAGAAGTTTCTTCTTCCATTTCAGAGAAGAGTTTAGCTTTGCTTTAATCTCTCTCACCTTTGAGAGGTTGCTTTTTTTCTCCTTTCCTGGTTGAAAAAGGCTTTGGATCACTTTACTCTTTCATCCTAAGCTTTGTCTGCCGTTCCTTACTGGTCTCTTGAGCGGGGGGCTGTAAAACAGCAGAGAAGGAGCAGAAATGCCTAAGACCTGGCTTACATTTCTCAAAGAAAGAAATGAGATCTCTTCTGGCCTCACTCCCCTTACTTCTAATCTGAGCTATGGAGAGAGGCTTGTTGCAATGATTTGATAATGAGGGGAAGACATGCTACACACACTTTGCATTTCTTTATTACTATATCACGTGCACCACTTCAGCCTTACCACTCCAAATGTGTGCCGTGCCTATGCAGCAGTCTGTCGAGCGTCTCTAACGAGAGTGTAGGTTTCCTCTCTGGAATGTCTATGGTCTTCTCTACCCCAGAAGAAACCTTGGGTTTATGCTGCCTGGGTTCATCCACATGAGCCGCAGGCTTGGCATTCCCTGCTCATAATTTAAGTTGTCCCTCAGGCACAGCATTGCCAATGGAGGACTTCTTTCTGATCCTTCTCCTTTTCACTGCTCCCTCACATCTTTCTTGAACCTTTTCAGAGATGTCTGCTCTGCTTCGCAGCTCATCGGGGCCATTGGTGTAGCGAAGCTAACAGGGTTTTTGAAAGAGGAGGGCAGTCAGGGTGGGGGGAAGGCGTTTAGTTGCTCTTTTTGACAACCAAGGCGTGAATGTCCTGGATCTCACCATCTGATGTGACACAGAGTGCATATTGTTACCTTAAAATATTGAGAGTAATATCTTTGCAGTGATAGTCAGAAGCTGTGCATTTAATTTTCTTGAAAAGATAACACGCATTTACTCAAGGGCAAGTCTTACAGTGGAGCAAATTCCATCAAACTGAATGAGATCTACTCTGAATAAAAATGTTTCGGAGTGTAGAAAATGGTACTAGACCTGTTCCTAAACTATTATGCATATTAGTATATAATAGTTATATACTAACATACCTAACAACATAAGGTGTTTCTTATTCATTATTCATTGATTTGGGAATCTTAGAGTTACCAAGCATTTGTCTGTTTTGAGGAAAAGGCTTGATCTAACATAGCAAGTCACATATTTCAGTGTAATATGTGCCTTTATTTTTAAAGGTGAACAGATAAACCATCTTATGTTCAATACTATCCATCATTATAAGATAAAAAAAACCATAACTAAACAGTAATAGTTATGCCTCTACTGTCAGCAACTGATACGGGATACAAATGCTATCCTAGGTAGACATCTGAACTGGAAGACTAGGAAGTATAAGTTGGTAAAGTGATCTTGAAACTTTCCTCTGGCTTATTCCTGCATTTGTGTCATGTTTATAAGCTTCTTCAAACAACTGGCTGGCCGCCACTGAAACAGAATGCCAGATTAAGATAGACTTAGAGTAAAGTCCATCAGGGTTCTTTTTCTGTTCTTAAATTGTACAGTTATAACAGTTTCATATTGAACCACAGAAAATTATGCCAAGCTCACATATGTGACTCAAGCTCTGGGTGTTAAAAATGTTTTTACACAGCCTTAGGTTTGATTCATAAATGTAAGAATTGGGCTCATTTCTGGCAGTCATAAGGGCATTTGTGAAATGTTGGAGCAGACTGTTAGGCAAGGCAATTGTCAACCCACTCCATCTTTGCTATATTGCTGTTCAGCAAACTACTTGAATAATTCCTTTCATTCAGTGCAAGTAATGCCAATCTGGATGGTTAGTGGGGCAGTCAAACAATTGCTCTGCCACCTGGATAGCTGGCAGAGTCATTGATCTGAATTCACTCAACACATTGAATGGTTTAGGTTCTGTTTCTGGAGGATATGAGGATAAAACCAAGGTGGCATTGTCAGAGAGGCTGAGAGAAACATTACATTTAATTTACCAAGATGCAGATTAAATCACTGAATTGTAAAGGTTCACACAGTTAATAAAAACAAAGATTTTCTCACTTCAGTGTTATGTTCCACTAAAAGTACAGAATAACTAACATTCTGTTAGAACAAATGCCCCAATTTACATTCCATTCTGCTGAGACATGAAGTACTCTGAGATTACAACACTGTACATGCTTCATAATTGTAGCCAGGAATAACCGGGGCAAAAACCACCAGGGAATGGAGAACAGATTTGTTCTCTTTCCCTCTCCTTAATGTTCTTAATATACATATTTTTAATGTATGACTAATGTCACAACTTTCCTTTGTTCAGGTGTCTGATAAAATGTTCTTCTGGCTTCCCTCTGTCCTGTTGTGTTTCTGGTTTCTCTTAACTCCTTTTTCTATAGTAGTCATGACATTTAGGTAGATCCTCTGGCATTTGTTCTGAGGACTATAGAAAAAGAGGTTTATTATGTTGGACGAATAGGTTTCATTTGGCCACAGATTCCTTCCTTTGTGAGTGCCAAAATCAGGCTCAAAGTATTGTGATAGGGAAGCTTTATTTAGGGCAGCTTTTAAGGTTCTTCTTTTGAACCTTTCTCTAAGGATGAGGTTTCCAAATCTGTTGGGACTACACCCCTAAGATTTTTCAGCTTTTTTCTAAAACCTCTGGAAGATATCTAATAGAGTAGGATGGAGATCCTATCTGGAAGCATCTTTTCAGTCTCAAGCCATGATTATTCTCATAACCAGCCTTTTAACTGGTGATATCGTGGCTTGAACATGGGACGTCTTCATGCAAAACTACAACAGAGCTACAATTTCTGGAAGACAGTGGCCATTCCTGTTTATTTCATGAACTTTCTGGGTATTTTGATATATTTGTATTTGGAGAAGGGAAAAAGTTGTAAGTTGCATCTTCTACTATGTTTGACAGTTCTGTGGCATCCTGCTGGATTTATGGATTGCTTTAGAGTAATAAAGGATCAAGTCATAAAATGTAAGGAATAGCAAAATAAACAAGAGGTTGTAACAATGTGTTTAGAAAGTGGTGAGAGAGAGAATGAGAAAGAGAAGTACTTCTCGTGAAACATCTTTTGGGGGATATTGTAGGCAGCATACAGTGGTGTGGCAGATAATGGGAAGGTGGTGAACGAGTAGGAACTTGTTATATCAGAACTAAGGTAATATTGTTGTCTAATTGGTTTTGGAATTAGAATAAAATTCAAGTGAGCTCCAACATGACACTCAATCTAAGTCTGTAGACAACTCACAAGTCCATTTTTGGCTTTCCTCAAATGTGGCTTCCTGATCTCTGTCCTCTCTCTGGCCTTGAATGCTTCAGAGGAAAGGGAGTGGGAGAAGCAGAAATCCTGCTCCAGAATCTTTTTCCATTGGTCTACTGGTTTGCCTGTTTGGAAAGGACTTATTGGAAGGATTGTTGTAATAAATCTTGCTTTGAAGCTTTTAAATAAATTTTTTTTAAAATAATCTGTTCTTGTTTCACACTTGCTGTCTGAAGTGTTCCATGGAGAAAGTTAAGCCTCTAAAGAAGACATATAGCATTTTTCACATGGCACTTAATTTCCTTTCATGACTGTCTTATAAATTTTCATGGATTTTATGTGGTAATGATGAAAAAGCAAGCATACTTAAAACACACACACACAC